GAACATTGAATCTGGATTTTCTGTGCACACTCTGCTGTTCGTTATGCTATGACTGAACAATCTTTAATACCAATCAGCATTGAATAGCTATGATCAGAGATGGGATGGATGCTAGGGTGTCAACGATATTTGAAAATTCAATTTTGAATTCAATATTCGATATAATCGAATCGAATTCGGATAATTCAAATATCTAACCAGTCGAATTTAGATATTAAATTCATACCGAATAGTTAATCAGATGAATTTGGATATGACCTGATTCGATTCAATAAATATCCGAATTTGATCGATTATTTAATTCTTATATATTATATAAAATATTTTATATATAATAATTTGAATATTTAATTGGATTCAAATTCGGATATTATACACCACTAATGGACGCCTACTTGTTGCTTACTGGTGTGCAAAGCAGACCTAGTTTCGAAGAATTTTTTTAACCTTTAATTATTAATTTTTAGTCCTAATGAAACCCATGTCCTGAGAGTACTGACCTCAACGTCCATCATATTTTGGTTTTGACCTTTGAAGGCCCATTTCAGCAAAGAAGAAGAACAACAAAAAAACAGAAAAAAAAAAAAAACTCATTGCGCAATTTTATTTTGGCCCATAGAGACCCTGCCTATCTTCAGTCTACCTCATGTTGGTCCGTTGTTGAATCAGCTCTAGAAGCCAGCCCATGGTGATATTTTGATTGACCCATTGTGGACTTTTTAACCTGCCGTGGCCCTTTTCAGTTAGCCTACAATGGCTAAATTTTAATTACAATACTGAAGAAGCAGCAGGACCACTTACACTTATCACATCATCATTATCACCACAYGTATGGAGATTTTCAATCATCATCAAATTGCCATGTCATCTCAATAGACTGTTACATCATCATCCCAGCAAGTATGGATGATGGAACTATCTCTATGGTGGAATAGACTAATACTTGCCACATCATCATTGTCACAGCAGGATTGGAGGTTTTAGGAACATCACAGCATTGCAAAGTATTTGGCAAATCTATCAAGATCTCTGATCCTATGGGTTTGAAGGCGCTAAAGGGAAGAGAGTAGTGATATGATAGAGTTTGAATTAAAACAGGATTTCTCACTTTATATATTGATGTAATTCTCATGTTGATCAATGCATTCAACTTTAAGCCTTTCTCTGTAACATAAGAACTGAAAATCATAAACTGGGCCTACAGAAAATGTATATTTGAGTATGAGAGCAACCACTTTAAAGAAAATGCTGAAGGTTGAGCCGGTATCCAATCATGGGGTTCAGTTGATAGCATCTCTAGCTAGTTGTAGCGTGCGGATAGGGGTGTCAATTGGATTGGATTTGGTCCAATTCGGTCCAGTCCAATATGATTCCATTATAAATGGACCTGGTCCAATCCAGTCCAATGAATATTTTGGATCATTTTGGACTGGTCCAGAAACTGTCCAATCTGTTCAAATTCCTGTTAATTTAAATTGGTTTCAACTCAAACCTGATCCATTGACACCTATGTTCTTATCTTCTATCAATGGACCAGATATTGGCTCAATCCAATATAAATTCATTATGGATGGACCAGGTCCAATCCAATATGTTATATTGGTCCATCCAGTCCGTCCAAATTCGATATGTATTATTGGTCCATCCAATCCGTTCAAATGGATTTTGATGTTGGACTGATTCCAACCCAAAACTGATCCATCGACACCCTTACATGCRAATACTTGGGATCAAATCCCCCTGCCACCAAGATTGGGGGTTATGGGTATGGGGGATGGACTACCCCGGGCTCATTGTGTGTCCCCATTCTCTCCAAGTAAAAACTCTAAACACATGGTGAAAGCATGAAAATCCCGCCCCACATTGGGAATATCCCTAATCTCCCTATAAATTTAACATAAACATATGAGAAACAATTTCAATGTGTGACTGGATGCTAAATGAACAGAATTTCTATTTATAAAAGATCCAACTAGCTGTTACCAACATTGGGTACCGGTATTGAAGAAGAGATATGAACTCTTACAAACTCTGCAATTAGGTTGCATTTTACCTCAGCAAGACTGAAATTTGAGGGGAACAATTGTGGGACTAAGAAAAGATGGGAAAAGAAATAAAAGTAACATGCGTGGCAGTGTCGGTCACCCACATCTTAGCTTAGCTTATGGGCAAAGGTTCACCCAACAACCCACCAGACTGAACTGACTCACTGACCTATTATATTTCTAATTTCATTTTATACTTTTCTCGTTTCAGTCCCATGTGCATTCATGTTGATTGGGGAGACCGGATCTGCTCCTCACATAGGGCGCCTCACATGCACATCCTACCATGCATTGGGAACATCTTCCTTTATAAGTAATTATTCACGGGAGATGTTTCCAATGCATGGTGAATGTGTATGTGAGGCGCCCAAGTGTGAGGAGTGGATCCTGTTCCTTGATTGGGTATAAGCACAATCAATGCACAGGCTTTATTTATAAGCAAAATTGAAGATGGAGTTCTATGACATTTTCAATTTAAATATATTAAGTTTTTATTAAATTTAAATACCTTATGAAATTTATATAAATTTGTATTTTTAGTGGAACTTAAGTTGGCTTTGAATTAATAAAATTTAATTATAAAACTAATAATTAGTTGATAATTTTGTATTAGTTTTATAAAAATTTTAAATTGATATTAGTTTTTTATTTATCTTATTCCTTTTATTAATTAAATTATTTTTATTGTACTAATAAAAAMTATTTTTATCAATAATAATAAGTAATAATTATTTTTATTTTTTAATGGAAGTAGATTATTTAATATAATAATAAATTATTGAATATCTCAATTTCAATATAATTAATCTTTACTAATAATTGCAGTTTAATGCATATTATATATATATATATATATATACATATTAGTGGCATGAGTTATTGAAGGAGAGAGTTAATGATGTATTAATGAGGAATGTAAAAGTCTTAGAGGTGATTGGTGACTTGAATTATTTTGTTCAATTTTTAAATTATAAAATTTAAAAAAAGGAAAAAGATAAATACCTTTAGGGGGTGTTCTTTTTTTGGATTTTGAGAAGGGGAAAATTGGTCAATGGGATTTTGGTTCCCAGTGACCAAGAATCTCATATTCATTATTCAGATTTATGTGGAGACCAGGGAAAGTTTATTTTCCTTGGGGGTAAGTGATACCCATCTCTTAAGTAGGTAAATAACSTTCCCACCTAGTGAGAAAGCCTCTAACACTTGAATGGGACAAAAGTGCCCCTTTTAATAATGGATTTTTAAGGCTAAAATGGTCCTTACCTAATTTACCTAAGAAATAAAAGAACATGGGTAAATGCACTTACCCGGGTAAATGTTTCCTAAAAAAAACTTACCCAAATAATTACATTTTTCTAGATAAATAACTTACCGAAAAGTAAATGGGGCCTTAGAATGAAAACAGGAGCTTAGCACATTGCCTTTTAGTCTATGTCCCCCCCCCCANCCCCCCCCCACCCCCCCAATTGATGAATACGTTGAAAATGTAGACCGTTGTAATGCTCAGCATATGTCTCTTGACTTTCCATTTCTTTGAAAACTTCTAAGAAGTACTAAGGCCATAACCCCACCCCTGGTGCAGGCTGGGATTATTCAATGTCTACTACAATTTTTGCTCCATGGGACTTATACAAAGGGTACTCCATCACACCCTTGATGAGGCAGGAATTGAACAATGTCTGTTACAATTTTTGCTCCATGGGGGCTACACGAGGGTAGCCCATCCCTCAAAATCATAATCGGGGTTTCAAGTATTAAGGTTTTTAAAATTGAATCGGCCAACAAATCGATTAGGGGTCTAATTCTCGGATCGAATAATTCGACCATTTAAATCAAACGGATGGCCTGTTCTGATAAAATAAATTTTAAAAAATGGCAAAAATTGTTAGATGATTTAAATGATTCGATTATTTGGGTCAGTAATTTACTAACCAAATCAACGGTTTTTGATGAAATAACGGTTTTAGTATAAAATGAAACCAATCACCTGACTGATTCCTAATTTTTCCGATCTAACCATCCAGTCTAATCTGATTTCGAAAGCCATTGAAAGTATGGATACTCCCTGGTAAGGGTGAAAAGGGTGTAGGAGAGTATCAATAGTTTGAACGTTGTGCATAACCCCCACCCCTGGTGCAAACTGGGATTGAACAATGTTTGTTACAATTTTCGGTCCATGGGGTAGTYCATCCCGAAACCCATAACCCGATCCCCACTCAGTGATGCAAGCGGGGTATTCAATATATTACAATAAGCTAGCAGGAGCTAGTTAGCTCTTGTGCAATGTCTGCTACAGTGACATTTGCAGATGTTCCCAATATACAGCGGGAATGTGCTGTGGGGCGTTTTGGGCGGCTCCTTGTGGGGCGGAGACGTGAACTCGAAAAAAACAACCTGAGCTTCCTGCGCAAGATATTTACCCACACTCATCTGTCGTGCATATGAAAATTCAATACCGACCATACGGTGATTAGTGATATAGACTGTTTTTCTAGAAAAAAAAAGTCACACTAATTACAGTTGTGCCATCTCCGTCCGATTTGAAGATCTTATGAGGAGCAATTGTAAAATAATATTTACAATTAATATGTTTTAATTTAAAAAAAGCTAAATATAATTGCTTTTGTGGCCATTGTTTAAATAACAATCTTCACCGAGCACATGATAAGATGCACCATAACTATTATTATAAACAAATTATATAATTTTTTTTATCATTATTTTAATAACTACGTTTAATATTTCTTCTTACTATAATTATTTATGATATGAATTTTCAATTTCAATACTTACTGAATGCATGTGCATTTTCAATACTTAACATGCAGCCAAAAAGACAGCTCATGACAGAGACTCCATCACCATAAAAAGACGAGACAGTGATGGAGGATGGAGGGTCATCCAATCAACCACCACATAAAGAAGAGAATTTCAAAAAGGAAAAAAAAAAAAAGATGAAAAGAAAGAAATAGAAATTTTTATTACTATAAAATAGGACCCGAAGTACAAAGATGAAGGAGAGGAAGAAGATGATGATAATACAAACTCAAATACAAATTCAGATACAAATGATGATTAATGAACAGATCAATCTGGATCAATCAAAACTCTTCCAGCTGAACCCCTCCAATCCTTCTTCTTCTCCCTCAGATTAAGCACTCTTCAGATCACACTTTTATTGTCCTAAACCACCTCCACCCAAAATAATTACAGAAATATATACCGAAGATACATCAACCAATCGCACACCCAAACAAATCCCCAATAACAATTAATTAATAGTGACAGAAAATGGTCGAGAAAGATAGAAAAAGAAGTGAGAACAGAGCGACGATCCTCCCGAACTCAATTCTCCATTCTTGCCCTCTGCACCGGTAATTAAGAGATTAGAGACTGAAATCTACTGGAGTGAGAGCGAGAGCCAGAGACGAGGAATCAGAGAGAGAAGAAAACTCAGAACTACTCCTTCCATTTTATATGTAGTTGATTACAAGAGCAACCCAAAGGCGAGAGCCATCACGGAAGCGAGAGCGGTGGGGACGAAGGCGGAGGCGTCCGAGGTGGGACTTGGTGCAGGAGCGTCTGCGGCTGCCACATTCTGGACGGCCGAGATGACCATCATCATCACGACTACAGCAGCGAACAACCTCATCTTCAATGACTCCATTTCTGAAACTCTTTTGAAAAAACAAACGAGCGAGAGAAAGCAAGAGCGAGAAAGAGAGAGGGGGGAGATGGAGAGAGATGAGCTCTCTAATTCCTCTGTGTAGAAGGGTGGATGCAGAGAGGAACGCAGAGGAAGAGAGCTCGATAGGTGGGTGAGAGGCGGAAGGGAGAGTACAGAGGGGTTTATAACATAGGGGATGCCAAGTTAGAGAGAGAGAGAGAGATGGTTTACGGGCAGGTTGCCCGAAATGACCGTTCAACAACAAAAAAATTTGGAAGGACAATGGGAGTTGGGTTGGGGTTGGCGATGGGACTGCCCGTTGTTGACAGGGTGTCTGCCTTCGACCTTCGGGTGCCATACAGCTGTCACTAAGACGTTTGTGCCTTTGTGGATCCCAACCTTTTGCTATTGCTAACCACTCATCTTATTTCTGTTTTTCTATTTTTTTATTTTTACTTTTTTACTTTTGCCCTCGATAAGATAAAGTAAGAAATTGTTATTTTTGCGTGGGCTGCACTGCATTTACCATGTCTGACAATTCTGGGTCTTGCCCCTAACATGCGCCTGGGCAACAATGTCATCCTCATCCATCCGCATTGGGAAAAGTTKGGGCGAACCATTATTTAAATCAAGGGGTTTAATTAAGTATATGTTTGTCATCCGTGATGCACATGCAGCACTCCGAAAAAGGTTCCGCTGATGTGTGGGTTGTGGGTTGGGAGCATCGTTTTCTGAGAAAATGGTTTCCTTTTTTTGTTTGAAAATTTTGCGGTTAGGTAAGACTTTTTTTTTGAGCAATAATTTTTTTTATTTGGTATCAATGTTTCGGAAAACGTTTTCACCACTAATATCCATTATCCAATGCCACATCAATGTCACCTTACATTTCTATTGGCAACAAGGAGTTACCACTCCAGGAAACGCTAAATTCGACGTTTCTCCAAGCCATGCCTTCCCAATTTCCAAGGTGTGGCTTGGAGCATTGTTTTTTTTATGAAAAAATGGTTCCAAACAAACATTTGTTTCCTGGAGCACCGTTTTTTCCGACGTGGTGCTAATGTGGCATCTTTTTCTAGAGCAACGACAACGATGCCAAACAAATACGAGTCCAAATCACCTACCAACATAACATGCTACAATTCTCTACCAACAGATCTCACACCGCACATCTCATACATGGCGGGTCCCACTTTTATGATGGGTCCCAATCTCATGATGAAATGTGTGGTGTTCGATCAAATTGGTAGATGGTTGGAACGTGTTTTATTGTATATGTTTGGCATCGGCGCTGCATATGTGTGGGTTGGAAGCACCATTTTTCTGAGAAAATGGTGTCTTTTTTTTTTTGGAAATGTTGCTGCCAGGTAGGACTGTGAGTTCCGGAAAGCTTATGGTTGACCCAAAAGATTTGGAGTCACCACCCATTTTTTAGAAGAAATTGGCCATCRTTTTCAGATGTGAAAAATCAAACTAAGTCTTTGATAGTGACTCTATTTTCCATGGGAAAGGCACACAACCAAGAGATTTCAGGTCTAAGAATTGGGAGAGGGAAAGTATTAGGCACCCCTCTCTCCAACCTGCTTTAGCAGCCCAAAACGAGAGCTATTCAGGCTCAGATTTTGGTAAAACACGAACTAACAAGATTGTTCAAAGCTTCTGAAATCTAGCAAAAATGTTCCCAACTTCGCCTAGAATCAATTTGAGATGATGTTATCGGGTCTTAGGTATTAGTTTCCCTAAGACCCTCGCCTCTCTACCTCTTTTTCTCAAATCCAGAGGAAGCTAGGAAGGTAAGTTTAACAAGGTTTCAAGGCTTTAAGCAACCTTAAACTAAACTAAAAGCAAAGATACGGTGGAATGAGAGGCTTACCTCTCRTGTACGACCTTGAAACAATCTTTCCAACAGCAGAAAATATTTCAAATGAAACTTGAGCAAGGCAGGAACTAGGCTGAACGTCTCTGGTGTTGAGTTTGGAAAATAGGGGATGAGGCTTGAGCTTGGCTTCAAGGATTTCGGGGTTTCAGGCACACTGAGTGTTTTACAGGAGTTGGGAAACTCTCCTCTTCCTTCTCTCTCTTTCTCTAGGGACCTCTCTTAGGTTTCCTTCCTTTAGTTTCCCTTGGGTTTCTTCCTCTCAATCCCCTCTTGGGTTTTTTCCTTTCAGTCCCCCCTCCCCAAGCTCGAGCTGGGCCTCTATATGTACAGAAAAATGGAAGGAAATGGGTCTGAAATTCGCTCAGCTACAGTGTCTATGACTGAGCAAAGTCCTTTTACTAAAATAGGCAAAGATTCTTTAAAGAAATAGGTACCCAATCAAGCTTTCTTGTTTGGTGAAACATTTTCTTCGATTTGGGGGTGGTTTTCACAGGTTTATGCGTCCAATAGGAGCTTGGGCCGTGYCAGACGTTGCAGTTTCGTATTTGGGGCTGTCAATGACAGAAAATATAAATTTGAGGAACTTTTAAACGCTAATTTATCTTTTCTTGTTCTTAAGTAGGGGTCTGTTTGGTATTTTGATCTTTTTAGGTCTATTAGGTTTTGTTTGATTGTCCAGGTGTTCTAATGGGTCAAGAATGGATTTTATATCAGTCATCACCCTTTTAAAGCTTCAGATTGGGCCAGATGACATGGCAATTTAATCTAATACGTTGAAATGGTATCTTTCTAGTTTAACAGTCAAACGAATGAGTCTGGTCATGAAATTTGGTGTCTTGGGGTTTTTTGGGTCTCTGAACATAGTGGTGAGGTCTAATCGGACAAATGGGGTTGGGATAATGGAAATTTATGGTTGATAAGTTCGGATTTATGCGATTTGCTTAAATATAATATTTGTTTGATGAAGGGTCAAATAGAAGAATTTTGGGATGAAATTTGCTGGGTTGGCACTTTTGATCATTCTAAATATAATGGAAGTGATGGATATTTGATCAGGGGTGCAGATTGATTGATTTAGTTCAAATCATGGTCTTATCTTATGGAATCTTACATTTTCAACGGTCAAACGAAGGTGTTTGGTCGTGAGATTTGACATGCTAGGGTTTTTTGGGTCTCCAAACACAGTGGTAAGGTCTGATTTGTCATGTGAGGTTGGGATGATGGATGGTAGGCTCTGATTAATGAGATTTGTTGGAATAGAATCTAGGCTTGATGGGGGGTTAAACGAGGGAATTTTGAGCTACAATTTGGTAGGTAGGCATGAATTAGGGTGAGGAGTCAAGTGGATGGTTTTGATTTGAGAAATATATAGTCAATCCTGATAATCATTCAGGACCATCCAAATGGGATCTTGATGTTTTTGCGGTTGGTTGTTGAAGATTCGTGGTGGGATTCGCTGGTTGATTGTTTCCTAATGATTTTGAGGTAATGGATATACTAGATTTGATTTTGGAGGAATTGGAATTTTGATATCGCATAGATTTAGGGCTGTTAGAAAGGAAGTTGGCCTAATGAACAATGGACCTATAGAGTTTAGTCATGAAAATTGATGTGTAACTAAGTTATAGTTTTTCTAGTCTATGGATGATGTCTGATCAAGGTTCTTGTTTGTCTTGTGGATTGGGTCAAATGAGGGTTTTTTTCGGGTTTGGAAAGTGTCAAGTTGAATCTGGTTGTGTTTTAAGTTTTTGGAGTGCAAAAGAGGGGTACAAAGAGGTAGGGTGAAGGGACCGAGCAAAATTGGATGCTAACAATGGCGTTTCCTAGGACAACAGCAACACCTTATGTTTGGTACCAATGCTCCATATCTGTTTACAACACTAGTACCCATTATAGGAAGTCCACGTCACTACCACATCATGTCTTCGTTGGCAGCAATGAGCTCCAAGTTGAGAAAATGTCGAATTCGGAGTTTCCATAGACCATGCTTTCTCGATTTTTAAGACGTGGTTTGGAACACTATTTTTTATGAAAAAACGGTTTTAAACATGTTACCATTTTCTAAATCATCGATTTTTTCAACATGGCACTGGTGTGTCACTGTTTTCTGGAGCAACGGCATTGGCACCGCCATTGGCAAAAGATCCTAACTCTTAATTAAACCCCTCTTTTTAATCCAAGTTATACATCAGAAATATTTATGGGACAACCGTGACTTGCTGGTACAGTATTGGGAGTGTCTTATTGGCACCAGATCCCTATATGTTTATAATTGCAAAAATTCCTGTTTTAACCCCTTCTCATAGTTAGGATTGTCAATGGGTCAGGTCTGGATAGAATTAGAATTGATCCTATAAGAAATATTTTGAAGCTGGAATTAAACCATACCTGATAAGGTCTATAATTTTAGACCCAAAATCAAACCAGTCAGTTCTTAAGACAATCAGGTCTTAACCAATGGACCCGATTATAATAATTTATTAATATATATTTACCTAATATAAATACATAATTTATTTAATATACTATACATATTATATATCAGTTGGGAGCTGAATCGGTTCAGGACTAGGTAAAACCGGTTCTGCATCGATAATAGTCGGGCCTAAAACGAAAACCAACCCAATATGTTCAAGCATGGTTTTTAAAAACGAACCAGTCAGGGGTCCGGTTACTGGTTCGAACGGTCTAACTGTTCGACCAGAACGACCGGCCCATTTTAACAAAAAAAATAAAAAAATTAGAAAATGGTCAAAACCGTTCAAAAGATTTGAACGGTTCAGACGGTTCGAATGATTAACCGGTCGATTCAGCGATTTACTGACCAAATTCAACGGTATTGGGGAAAAAAGCGGTTTTGGAGGAAAACGGAACCGATCAAGTGACCGGTTCCCGGTTTTTCCAGTCCGATTTTGAAAACAATGTGTTCAAGTTCATAAGACCCAACCCATTGACAGCCCTATTTCTCATAGTGCAGTTTTAGCCCCAAATTTTGTTTTTCTCCACTGTAGACCTTCTCGTTGGCCATTGGGTTGGGCCTTTCTCTTCCCTGTCTACCCCTTACCCTCATATCATTAGATCTTGTGCGATTCGATGGGTCCAGTCATCTTCCAACCCATCGCTTACCTTTCAAAGGGCATATATGTACAAAGCAAGCATCCTCAGCATATGATTATCATTGAAGATGCTGATGGGCTATTCTTTCCAGATGGGA